CATAAAGGAAAGAAATAAGACATAAGGCAAAAAAAGCCATATAAATAAATGTTAGCAGGATATTGCAAAATTTGATGAGTGTGGTTGCAGAACCTACAAATATCTAACATTAATAAATATGAACCATACTGAGATATTATCATTAAGCACACCAAATAATGACTAGTTCATTTATAAATTATTTAATACAGAAAACATATCTGACACCAATCTTAACAGAAATGACAGAGCATAATAACAGCAGCAACAAATCCTTTATTCCGTATCTTGGGAAATACAGCAAGTATCCTTCCGTTCAGCTCTAAAAGGAATGATGAGCAATGGACTGTCTAGATCAATTGTACCAATTTATAATTCATTAGTAGACTAATAATGGCGTTAAATTTCATTCATAGTTGACTGTCTCCCAATACAGAGAAAGACTGAGAAAGGTAGCGTGAAGAATGAATATAAATTTGACTGCTAATTAAATTCTAAATTCACGAGGATATGCCGCATTGTTTTTTTCAGCCTCGACCCCAGAAAAAAAAGGTGCTAGGCTGGACATCCATGTGAAATGACAAAACAAATGCTTCATGAAGGATCGTATTGCATTGGAAATTCCCACATGTTAGCTACCTTTTCATTTTTCAGTGGAGGAGCATGAATTACATCATGCAAGGTAATAAGTCTCTGTTCAGAGTTCTAAGTTTGAAGTGTACAGAACAGAGTGTGACATGTTAGGGATATGAAGTAAACAGAGTGCACCATATCCTAATTGAATTGAATTAATCGTCTCCTGCTACATAATTAGCAATCTAGCTAAAATGCACTTACTTATAATATAATCTGAATCGCTCATATAATATGAAATCCATTTCATGTTACTAAACTTTGTTGCCTTATGAATTTCTTAATCACATGAGACACACTTCAACGTAGCTACGTAGCTTACTAAACCTGAGAGATGAATGCAATTACCTTAAAAATGTTATCATTTTTCTCCATCAAGGACTATTTCGATACATGGTTTCGTAAACTTAAATCACATGACTATTTCGGTATGTCTTATCAATTACAAATTCAATCGTCCATGTCAGTTGAAAATTCTCAGCCTCCTATTTTCGCTATAACCAACATCACATATAAGAGGAAAAACAACTTAAACAAAAGATCATACCACAGTTAATCACAGCCTAATTAACCATGCACATATTTTAATGCAAGGATCTTTTCTCACAGACATAAGAAGAGAATTCCATAAATCTTTGAAACTTATATCAATTTGCCGATGTTCTCAAAGTACCAATAAATGAAATGAGAGCAAATAATAACCTAAAAATCGAGGAAAAATCCATAGGAAAACACGAAATAAAGGATCATCGATCCAATAGGTCAAGACCACAAAAAGAAATTAAAGGAAGAAGTGCCAAACAAATCAAGAAATTAGAGGAAATTAGGGTTTACCATGTCGCAGTTTCGCTTTTATCGATTTCAAAAGAGAGGAGAAATATGTGCGAGACGCAGTCAGAACGTCGACGATTTTTTATTTATTTTATTCTCATAAATAATCTCCATTCCAAGATTGAAACTGAAATTTGAGAGCAGCCCGTGGATTTAATTTACCCCTGCTTTTGGTCGAAAATATCAGGTTTGCCCTCCGCATGGCGCGGATCGCTCCAAGCCCTTTTACGTGTCTTTCAAAGGGCTGGTTAGGTGACAAAACATAGATGAATCATCCTAGTTTAAAGTTCCGTTTTTATAATTTAAAAAATAAAAATTCTATTTAAAAATTTGCATTTGTTTTTGTAACAAATATCTCCTCTTAACTGGGTTGGAATTTGCATACTCTATGTTGCTAAAAAATAGTAGAGAGGCATTGCTTAATTAATAGACGTTGATTTGTTTAATGAGTGATTATGATTAATTTTAAATTGTGGATCCCCCCTTGAATTGTACTCATCTGTTACTTTTATATATGGGTTTTTTATATGGAAACCGCCTTTAAAATAGGGGTGTAATACGAAAACCACTTTTATTGTTTAATTTATATATGAATCATCTTAAAGTATATTTCATTTTAATCAACATCAAAAACTCATTTCCTGTTGATTTTTTAATTAAAATTGTTTAACTACCCCTATGTTTACTGTTGACACCCACCCCTGTAACCATGATTTAAATCTAGAGATAGAAGAAGAGGGAGATGATGTAGAAAAGGAGGAAGATGGGAGAACAAGGAAGAGGTGGGGTCCTAAATTTAGAGGTAGGAAAAGTGGGAGAGGGGAGAACCACGGGTAGGGGGGAGGGGGAGAGAGGCCCTAAATCTAGAGGATAGACCATAGAAGAAGAGAGGGAGGGTGTGATGTGCCGTCGGTGTGTGGGCGGCCGGGTTTGGTGGGCAATTTGTAGGGCGACAGTAAATAGGGGGTATCAAAAGAATTTCTTTACTAAAAGGAGGCTGGTTTTTCCATTAGACAAATGACGTGGATCATGGAGCTAAAGAAAAATGTTAAACGTGGTTCTCTTTCTTTTCTTGAAATGGATATCCAAAATCTTTTAGTGGAAACTAGAAAGTAATTTATAGAAAATGGCATCATGGATTTCCTACGATATTGTGAAAATGCAAAAAGAGAAAACTCTAACTATCATCATGCATATACAATGGATGAAGAAAGAAAGTTGGAGCATTTCTTTTGGTGTTCTGTTTCTTGCTTTGATTGATATCAAAGATTTGGAGATGTTGTTATTTTCGACACAACCTATAAGGTGAATGCTTATGAAATGCCATTTGACATATTTGTGGCTGTCAACAATCATGGGAAGACAATACTTTTCAGATATGCACTTCTAAGAAATGAGACAATAGGTGTATTAGTAATTGTTGGGGTCTGCCCAATTGAGTGGGTGGGTCCCAAGTTGGCTCAAAACAATTCTTTAGTGAACTAGTTCCTAATCCTAAAAGGTTACTGTTTTGTTCTGTACTCTATATATATGCACTTATGCAGAGATTAAAGAGAGAGAAAAACATACTATTGCCATATCTGCTTCATTGCCGAGGTTCGAACACCACGGGTACGACGGTGATACATGGCCTTAACAGTATTGAGGAGCGCAATCGATAATATTGTTAAAGCTATTAAAACTCTTGTAATTCCCACAAGGTCAACTAAGGTAACAACTGCATTCCTTACTGTCCTTCCAATTCTCCCGTTAATTCTCTTCAATCGGATGACGGGTCCACAAAACTATCACGCTAAGAATCACCTCTGATAGTCAATTTCTTTAAAATTCTCCCACCAATCCTCTTCAACAGGATGACGGGTCCACACAAACCTATCACGTTAATGATTACCTCTGATAGTTGATTATTTTCCAATTTCTCCTGTCAATCCTCTTCAACAGGATGATGAGTCCACACAAAACAATCACGATAATGATTACCCCTGATAATCGATTATCTTCCAAATTCTCTCACCAATCCTCTTCAATAGGATGGCAGATCCACAAAGCTATCATGTTAACGATTACTTTGATAGTAAACTCTTCGACTACTATCAAAAATACTCCGTCAAGTAGTGGTCTATCATGCTATGAGCCCCTGCTTGTCACTTGATCTGGATAGTGATCTACCATGCGATGATTCGCTATCTGATCCGCTCTGAATGTTCTATCTCCTTAGAACGATCGAAGATAGTGGCCTACCATGAGATGTGCTGCTATTCTAATCTCAGTCGTTATACTTTTATGTCACTGATCGACTTGATTATCTTCACACCGTCATTCCTGCAAATAACGTTGTTCGTTTATATTGGCCTACTGAGCGATGTGCCTTATCAACCCCCTTATTCTCAAATAGTGACCTACCAAGTAATGAGTCGCTATTCAAATTTGAGATCGTTATTCCCCTAATGATATCATCTCACTCTCCCGGTCATTCTTGTAAATGACCACTCATTCGAGTAGCGAGCTTACCATGCGACGGGTCTCGTTCTCAAATTCTCAGGCTAAGTTGTTACACCAAATAGCACAACTCAATTACTAACTGAACCGTTATAATTCTGATCAATTCTTAATCCTACGCCCTAAATGGATAAGGATAGAGGAGAAATTTAGCATTAAGTCTAAGAGAAACTTCTTGACAACTCACCATACTGAGAAAGATGGTATGGCTAGCCCAATTCAAATGGTATTTGGTAAAGGCAAAATCAAATCCATTGATAGCTAGGGGTTTGCTAAAAATCCTAACTATTAATCAATAGTGCATACAAAGCAGGAACTCACAAGATATTTGAAGTGAAAATCCAATTTATTCATGATGAAAAGTTTTCATTACAAAATTCATTCAAAAGAAAAGAAACTCAAAAGCTTCTCAACCGATCTTCTATCTCCTTGATGGCTCTGGCATGCTCCTTTTCAACCTTGCTAAGGATTTTTCGGTGAATATCTTCTTCCGTAAGCGAGACGGTGTCGGTTACCTGGACACCTACTGCTTTCAGAGCTCTATCCTTATCCTCAAGCTCACCGAGGACCTGCTATTGCTGAGTCTCAAGCTCCTCCAACTCTATCAGGACTTGGGCATGAGCTTGCTCTTAATCAGAAAAGAATGCTTGTGCCTCCACTATGACTCGCTTCACTTTAGATATGCATTGAGCTAAGTTTGCTAAGACGGAGTTGGCCTTCCGACATTCTTCCCCGATCTGCTCACCCTGTGCGGTAGCTCACTCCACCTCCTCCTTTAGTCAACTTTCTTCGGCCAAGGCCTCCTCCAAAATACATTCCCGCTCTTTTAGGGCTATTTCAACCTTTTCAGAAGCCAGGCTGACAATATTGGAACTGTCAGAGCAGAGAACGAGCAATTCCTGGATATCTTTCTTCATCAACCACAAGCGAGTTTGATACGGAGAGGCAGCATCAGCACTAACCAGCCTAGTCAAATTGTCCACACATATCTGCAGGACTAGTTTACAATCGTCAAAGGAGCAACTCTCATCCAATATCATCCTTACGCTAGTCCGGAGGTAAGATTAGAAATTCTCGATAGTGTGATCTACGACCATCTTTCTCATATGGTCTGTCGGGGAAAGAGGAGTTTTGCTCGTAGCTGGCATCGTCATATGAACTTGAGGTAAAGCGCTAGTTGCTACAACGGAAAGCGTCGGAGTCGACACCGATGAAGTGGGGAGTTCCATCATCCCCATCGAAATCCCGGCATTGGAAGTTGAATGAGCTCCAACAACCAAAGCGTGAGTTGTTAAAGCTGGAATTGAAGCCAGGACAGTTACAAGGGCCAGCGATGAACTTGTTATCGCCTCGACCTGAGCTCTAAATCTGTTGCTTGGACTGTAGTCTCCACAAGCTTACTCACTTGATGGAGGGCAGTCGGTCGAGGCGAGACAGAAGCACCCTCATGTATGACTCCAGCAAGCCAGCCCATCATTCGAGACCCTTGGGAGACGTGTCAACTGCAATCAAAATTAACAAATGAAGTGTTAACGCATTCAGTTAAGCAACTCTCAAGGAGCTACAAGTTTACACTTCACAATACCTGGAGTGAAAGCAGCAGCCTTAGAAGCTTGTTCGCGAGGGGGCTCGGAGCATCAAAGTCCCCAATGAGAGATTCGCTTAGGGAAGAGTGGTGGGAAGCATGTTCACTCTCTTCATAATCCCTAAAGACAGCATTTACAGCATCTTCGCTGTCGATCGAGAGCTCGGCTTCTTCTTCCTCTCTTTCAGTAGAGGAGATAGTAATAGCCGCTTTCGTTGTTCCTGCTTTAATAATGATAGAAGAATAAGCGTATATGAGGCAATCACACTGAACAAAGTAAAATAAAAGAAATAGAAGTGAGAGAACAATTAACCTCCGAGACAATCGGTTGAGCGACCTGAGTCATAGACTCAGCAAGTGCTTGTTGATCAACAACAAAAGTTGACGGCATAAATTCCGATGTTGGTGGAGTTGTTTCCGTCCTAATGACAGGGGTCGACAAAGCAGCTTCCACAGAAAGATGAGCCGAAGAGGCTTGAATGTCCGCCAATGTCATTGAAGTAGCTAGTGGAGCTATATCCAAAATAGATTGAGTTGTGGAGACTGTCGGGAATGCACGATGTGTGACCTTCCCTTGCTTCGATAATCCCCGTCGTTTCTGCCTGATGAGCCTTCTTCACGATCTCTTCTTTAGAAGGGTCCACTTCATCTTCCCGCTGTCGTTTCGGTCGAGCTGTGAAGTCAGGTCAGGGGCGTAGTCAGAAATTCTGAATTCTGGCATTTGCATCTGTTCGACGATAATGCCCCTAACTCTCTCTAAAAACATACCTGTGCGAGTTAGCTCCTTGGCCTCTTCTTCTTTGGCAACAACGTCGAATTGGGAGGGAGCATATTGAGTTTGAACTATTTGCTCAGTAAAATCATACGGCCTTTCGTAACCACCAGCTTCTTCAAAATGCGCCTCTTCAGACTCCTCAAACTGTTGGTATTCTCTCCGTTTCGCCGTGCGAGCAGTTTTGCCTAAACGACGCTT